CGCAAATGGCAGCAAGGACGCTGAGCTCCGCGATTCTTCTATTGTTTTTGTTTGTTTGTTCTGTGTTTTGTCATTTTTCTTCTATAAGTTTTACCAGAGACGAACTCCTTAACATTAAGCAGCACATCCCAGACAACATTTTTCCGGTTTTTGATTATTCGGACGTTTTGTTGGACATTCTAGTCGGAGGTACAGCGGTGTTGTTCAAACGCGCGTGCAGACGCAGAAGAGGGAAACGCGCCGGCGCCCTGGTGAAGCTCCGCGCGCGCGGCTTTCGGACTGCGCTCCCAAGCATTCATCTTGCGAATGTCCGTTCCCTTCCTAACAAAACGGATGAACTTCTTCTCCTCACCCGCACCAACAAGGACTTTTCAAACTCTGCTGCACTGTGCTTCACTGAAACCTGGCTGAGTGAAGCCATTCCGGACAACGCGCTTCATCTGCCGGGCTACCAGCTGTTCAGAGCGGATCGCATCGCGGAGTTAACGGGGAAAACCAGAGAAGGTGGATTGTGTTTCTACATCAACGAACGTTGGTGTTCAGATGTAACAACGCTGAAAAAGGTATGCTGTCCTAATTTAGAGGCACTCATCATAAACTGTAAACCTTTCTACTCGCCGCGGGAGTTTTCCTCTTTCATTCTCGTGAATGTGTACGTGCCTCCGGACGCGTGCGTGAGCGCCGCGATGCAACAGCTGGCCGAACAAATAACTGAAATGGAGCAAAGGTACCCAGACTCTATTTTAATCATTCTTGGAGATTTTAACAAATCAAATCTCTCCCGTGAACTGCCAAAATACAAGCAGCACATTACGTGTCCCACCAGAGACAGCACTATTTTGGATCACTGTTACACAGCAATAAAGGATGCATATCACTCTGTCCCACGAGCAGCTTTGGGGCTCTCTGATCACTGTTTGGTTCATCTAATACCGACCTACAGGCAGAAACTGAAATCAGCTAAACCTGTATTAAGGACTGTAAAAAGATGGACTAATGAAGCAGAGCAGGATTTACAAGCTTGTTTTGACCTCACTGATTGGAGCATCTTTGAAGCTGCAGCCACCGATCTGGACGAGCTCACAGAGACTGTAACTTCATATATCAGTTTCTGTGAAGATATGTGCATTCCTACCAGGACATTCTTATCATTTAATAATGATAAACCGTGGTTTACTGGGAAACTCAAACAGCTTCGTCACGCCAAAGAGGATGCTTACAGAAGTGGGGATAAAATCTTGTATAACCAGGCCAGGAACAGACTAACAAAGGAGATCAGAGTGGCTAAAAAAAACTACTCAGAAAAGCTGAGAAAAGAGCTTTCAGCAAACGATCCAGCGTCAGTATGGACTGGTCTGAGGAACATCACCATGTACAAGACACCACCCCCACAGCTTGCGGAGAATCAACAATTGGCTGACGATCTGAATGTGTTTTACTGCAGATTTGAAAAGGATCGTCTACCACCCCCCATCCGCTCTGATCTGCACTTCACACCTTCACCTACCACCCCTGCAACCCCCCTCCCTCCCTCCCCCACCATTCAACCTGTGCTTAAGGTCTGTGTAGAGGATGTGAACCGGGTCTTCAGGAAGCAGAAATCTAGAAAAGCTTCAGGCCCAGATGGTGTTTCACCTGCCTGTTTAAAAGTCTGCGCTGACCAACTGGCCCTGACATCAATAAGAAAAAGTATAATTTCATAGATATTGTTAATAGTAGTTGTTCATAATAAAATATGTATGACCTTAATACATGATCTAGATTATTTATTTTGCAAAATATTGTAATTTTAATAAATATTACATTAAATTTATAAAAAATTGTTGTTGCTCCAATTAAGCTCTGTGTGCTCTCTTTAAGCTCTTCTACATTAAATTGAGATGCACCTAAATACAGGTGCATCTCAATCAGTTAGAATGTCGTGGAAAAGTTCATTTATTTCAGTAATTCAACTCAAATTGTGAAACTCGTGTATTAAATAAATTCAATGCACACAGACTGAAGTAGTTTAAGTCTTTGGTTCTTTTAATTGTGATGATTTTGGCTCACATTTAACAAAAACCCACCAATTCACTATCTCAACAAAATAGAATACTTCATAAGACCAATAAAAAAAAAAAATTAGTGAATTGTTGGCCTTCTGGAAAGCATGTTCATTTACGTTTCTGTGTTCATTCCCATGAATTAAATGTTTTATTGGTTTTATTTGATTTTTGAATATGTGTTACTTAGCTGAACGCAGACTAGTATATTTGTTGCAATGTGCTTAAATTATACTTCATTATGAATATATAACTGATCAAATTGAATGCCTTGTTTCCTGATTTTAGTGTTCAGTTTTTTTTTGTTGCTGTTTTATTTTTTTGTGATTGACTTTGTACCTTCAAAAAACTTTTTTTTTTTCAATTATTCTTTAAAAAGGTTGTTTAAAATAAACAAGAATTTTTAATAAAATATGATGTGAGCTTAATGGGAACAGGGGTGTGCTTAAAGGGTACAAAAATGTACCCATTAAGCACAGCCGGACTTTTTGCATTTAATGATGTATATCTTAGTTGAAATGCTTTTGTCATTTAAAATAAAATTAAATAATTGTGTGTAAGAGATTAATATTTTATTTTAACATAACTTTTTGTACTGAAACCAATATCTTGTGCAATAAAAATGTCTCAATGTAGATTTTGGTGATCTTAATAGGTACGTTTACCCTATGTTCTGATTGTCACTTGACCCCAATATGCACAAACATTTTTTCCAAAGATTTATCCTTGTGCTTGCCTGTGTGTAACTTACTTTACCATACTTTACTGGGGTGTTGTGAGTAGCTGACTGGAGATTTCTGTGCAGTAAATCAGGTTTTCAGATTTTTTTAATGCATTGCTAAGCAGTTGCTAGGAAATTCTGGGTGGTTGCTAGGTGGTTGCCTATTGTCAAGTCTTTCTAAATATGGCATCAATGTAAGTCTATGCAATTTGTTTTCCTATTTCATTGCCTGCCAGGAGAACAATTAATTGCACACCTCTCCTCAACAAGCTGTGCAAAAGGAGTTATTCATTCATGTTCAAAACACAAACATAATTTTTAGCTTAATTTAGCTTGATTCTTTGGGGAAGGGGTTTGTTTAAATCACTTAATCACACATTCCAAGTATAAGCAATAGTTATATTGATGCTTGCTCGCTAAATATAGAGGGCTATAGACACCAATTAGTTCTTCTCTTCATAGGAGAGCTACTAGTGCCTGAAGCACACGCTGAGATAGAACAGCATGAATGAACAGCTCTGCCTTCCTGACTGTAGGGTCTAGTGATAGGCATGTGGACTCACTGGTGGGTCTGATCATTCTCTAGGCTTATGTGCACGGCTGTAGAGGACAGGCTGGAGAGCATATTAATGCCACTTTGTCAGAATTAAGAGGTTAAATGGTTGTCAGGACTTCGTTGTCACATTGCCTTAGAGGACAAGGCAAGAGGAAAAGCCTATTAACAGAAGCACTCCTTTTTTTCCCCCTGTGTACCTCTCTGCCACTGTGTCGCTCATTTTCTTCTCTGCAGTCCCTTTCTCCACCTATCCTTTATCACCATGCTCTTCCCCAGCGTCCAGGCCTGTGGATTCCCGCAGAGAGACAGACATCTCCCACTTAATCAGCTGCTGTGTTTCTTGTTCAGATAAATTAGAGCTTGTTCCTCTTGAGAGGTATTTCCTGGAGGACGCCAACGCCACCCGACAGTATAACAGCCCCACGAACCCCTGCTTAGTGCACACCAGCATTTGGCGCAGCTGAACATACCAGTACGCTGATTAGTTTGACAGGTTGCTAAAGTGTGTAGAAGGACAATGACATTAGGGCACATGGTCTTCACGCAAACAGCAGCACTCTTGTTTCAATGCTTCTTTCTGAATTGCAGATCCGTGGTATATTTTCACCTGCCAGCAGTGGCTGACAAAAGTGCACCTTTGGGTGTCCTTACCTGAAGGTGCAGAACAAGGTAGCCTTTATGCAAAAGAATGACTTCAGGAGAGTGTATTATTCACATTTTGTCAGTCTGACCTTCATATTTTTCTATTTTTAATGAGCATTTTAACATGAATTCCTGTCCATTTTTACCTCTTTAGAGACTCCATTTTCTTGTTCTTTATTATCATGGATTGATGGAACTGGAATTAGGGGAGGGCCCTTTGTCTCTCAGGTGTGAACCACTAAATATTCATGGCCATTGTCACTCCCTCGCATAAAGCTTGTCTATCACAAAACATGTCTTACAAAATTTAAATCAATATATTGTTTTCTGTGAATGAGTAAACAAGATGATTTTCACATCATTTTGATGTAAATATTCTAGCCTACAAGACTGATTACTCAAAAGTCTTATTCAGAACTATTCAGTATGGGTTTTATGGCCTTATTTCAGCTACATTTTCCCCCCCAAAACTTACTAACCACGCATAATTTTTTTTTTTCTAAAAAATGCATAATGCAATGCAAACATGTATATCCATCTTGCTCACATATTATTGTAGCACAGTTTGTGTGGAATACAAAAAAATTACATATTGGCCAATAGTATGTTATAAGTAGCTGAAATAAGCACGAATGTCAGGGCATGTCAAAACATCTCAGAATCACCTCAGACCCCAAAGGGTTAAAACAGGGAATAATCTTCTCATAAATGATGTGCTAAACAAGTCTGGTTTTACTGGTTGTCTGCACTCGGGAACTTGACTTTAAATGGCTCTAAAAAAGATCTATGAGTCGTTGGGCATTTAATGGCCAGTCCTTATCTGGATTTAGCCAACAGCTGGAGAATAGATTCAACCACTGCTTCACATCCATAATATCACTCATGTACCACCAAGGCCAGTGCCTTTGAAATATAAATTGTCTTCGTTTAATTGGCCTGCACCAGCCTATACCCCAAATTTGCACACGATGTGATAAAGCACATTTAAAGGCACTTTTGTTTGGATTCTCACTTAACTGTTGTCTTATTTATCTTGTAGGAAAACCCCTATATGTGCAACAACGAGTGCGACACAGCCACAGAAGAGCTGGCCCACCCCCCTGAGCTCATGTTTGACTTTGAGGGCCGCAACCCCACCACTTTCTGGCAGTCCACCTCCTGGAAGAAGTACCCTAAACCTCTGGCAGTCAACATAACCCTGTCATGGAACAAGACCATTGAGCTGACCGACGACATTGTCATCACTTTTGAGTCGGGTCGGCCGGAGCAGATGGTTCTGGAGAAGTCTCTGGACTATGGACGTAGCTGGCAGCCCTACCAGTTCTACGCTACCGACTGCCTTGACGCTTTCACTATGGAGCCCAAAACGGTGAAGGACATTACCCAGCACACATTGCTGGACATTATCTGCACTGAGGAATATTCCAGAGGTTATGTGTGGAAGAACGACAAGACTGTACGCTTCGAAATCAAAGACCGTTTTGCACTGTTCGCCGGCCCCAAGCTGCACAATATGGCCTCGCTGTATGGACAACTGGACACAACCAAGAACCTGAGAGACTTTTTCACCATTACTGACCTGCGCATACGTCTGCTCAGGCCTGCCACGGGCGCCACCATGGTGGATGAGAACAACCTTTCCAGATACTTCTACGCCATCTCTGACATTAAAGTACATGGCAGGTAAGACATTTAACTCCGTTGCAGTCAAATTTTGGTTGGGGTTTGTTGCCTTTGGCTCTTTTCTTTTATTCGTTTTCCTAACAAACCATTTATCATTCTGTAGTTCTGTGTATTGGGAGGCAGGGTAGGTGTACTTCACTTTATATTTTTCAAAGAATGTTTTATGCATAGGCTTGATTTATTTAAACAGCTAGACAGAACTACAGTGTATTGGTCTTACAATTATTTTTAACAATACATAAAAAAGATCTGGGGGAAACATTTAGTGTAAGTGCAAATATGTACTTTGGGAATCAAGCAAAAACTACTGTTCTCATTAACTCTTTAATTTCAGTGTGTGTGTGTTTTTCCAGAATGAGAACCTTACTGAAATTAGAATGCTTTTTTAGATTGTTCTTCATGTTTTACTAAACTCTTGCATAGTCAAGAATTTTTGCAGTGTTCTGAAATATACTTTCTAATTTGACACCTTGTGATCAATCTCAAGACTGTGAAATTCACTGTTCTGACACCAAGGCTATAAACAGGAGTTCATTCTCTAATTATACACGTATCAGGGGCCATACCCGCCTCCATCTCATCTCACCTTTACATGTTCATTTCTTTTACAAGGAGACAAGATTAATTTCAGCATCTGTCCCAGCCTTTTCATCACATTATTGTCAGAGGTCAATAATAAGAATGCTAATTCATTCAAAGAAAGCCTATTTTAAGTATTTAATGTAGGTTTAATTCTGTAATTTTAATACACCAGAAATAATAATAATTTAAATAATGTATTATTATTTTGTTTTATTACATTTTTTAATAGTACATACACATAGTACAGCATATTCTGCACATTTTTTAGTAAAAAATTAGCAATCACATTGTTTTATTATAGAGGAATTAGACTGTGGAAAGTAGGCAGAGAAAATCTAATCTACAGTAAACTTTTCATCAGAGTGTACAATGCCGTGTGTTGAATGTGTGAATGTTTCTAAACCTGTTAGTGGGTGAAGATGACAGTTGATCACAGAAGGCTGTAAATTTTAAACCTCCCTCAAGGCTGTGTTCTCATTAATGGTGCACAGTGATGATCGGTGAGTGTCATCTCTGACGGATATTTATAAGAGCAGTGACTTGTCGTCTTGTTTCTAAAAAGGTAATCCAGAGTTCAGCAGCATGCTCGTTGTTGTGGGTTTTTTCTCTGAGCCTCCCTGTCATGGAGAATCATGATTCATCTCCCTACACGTACTCACAGGAAGCATACGCTCCTTCATCCCCTGAAATGTGTTTCTGCCTCACGGTGCATGAGCCACTAGAGTCTGGCAGGAGGCAGATGACCCCAAGCACAGGAATGCCTGATCTCAGAAGAGATTCAGTCTATATCGGTTTGAAACAAAGGAGCCGAGATGCAGCCCTAGAATGGAGAGCTACTGTAAGTAGGTCAGCAAAATGAAAGAAAAGAGAGGAAAAAGGTACACCTTGGTCCAGTGTCACACACTAATGTTTGTTGTGTGAAGATGCCATATTTATTAATAATGATTTAATATCATATTTTGTTATGAGGGTCAAGTATGTATGTTTTGGAAGAGTAGATTAATATCTAATATTATAAATACATTGGAGCGGCATCTTGTTTGTGTGAGAAACAGTTAAAAAAGAAAAATTAGGTTTCCTTCATCTGAAGTGACTTTGTAAAGTCACTGTAAAATCTGTTAGATTATAGACTATATTATACCTTCTATCTATTATATTCTATCTATATATTTATAAATATAAAGCAGTAACAGTATTTTAGTATAATTATATGAATTATATTTATTTAGCATTTTCAGTTGCATTTTTGTCGCTCAGTTAAATTAATTTCATATATATACAGTATATATATATATATATATATATATATATAACCTAGGATGACTTGAGGGTGAGTAATTTGTGGGCTAACTTTCATTTTTGGGTGAACTAACCCTTGAAATGTTTTCACGGAACCTTGCAAAAGCAGCGCGTTACAATGGTGAGGGAAAAGCTCTGTGTATTTCGTGTAATCACATCCATACAGTTTATGATCACAACAACAACAACGTTTGTCAGGCAT